AAGACTTCCTCCCACAAGACCAGTCCTACATTTTCCCTTGGCTTGGTTTTATGGGTGCAGCCATGGTGAGGAATTATAGCCTAAATCTAATCGATAATCCCAGCTACAGCAGACTCACTGAGTCTATGCAATCGCTGGAAGTGTTGAGTTACCAGTTTATTTAGCAGTGTTGGCTTTCATCTTAGAATGACAGAGATGGAAGGGACCCTCTGGATCATCCAGTCCAGCCCCTGTCAAGGAGGCCTAGTGGGGAATCGAACTCGATGCCTAAACCAGAGACCTATCCGACAGCTTTAGGTCCTTGCACTTACGAAACTGCAGGTAATTGCATATAAACAGTCAAATCCTAAGCCCCGCTGCGGGTCATCTTGCTGCTCCTCTCTGTAGTTGAAATGCCATTGCATGTCAGTGTAGCTGAACGCTTGATGTGTATCAAATCTTTGCATATAATCTGGTGTCTAACACTGGACCCAAACACTGGTCTGAAAAACACATTTATGCTTTGTTTTTCACCCATCCTGCCTTTTTGAGCACGGTTTCCATTTTCTCTACTGAAGTTCAGTCGCTTGAAATCTTTGTGTGTGGGAAAGCTGTTCCTTTCCTTTCTTCCAAAATTCATTCCCCAACTCTGGAACTACCCTTCCTGCTCAAGATGGCTCAAGAGGCACCCTGTCACAAAGAAGCTAAAATATATATATATATATTTGTCAAGGCTTGATTTACATAGTAATTGTGTCTCTTCTCTGCAGCCGATGAGTTTTTAAAATCATGCCAGTAATGGGTAAACTCTATGCAACAGATTCATTGCTACCGGGCAAATTACACACCGTGGTGGTGAAGGATGCATTCAGCCGCTATCAGCATCAAAACACACCATAGCTCTTTATGGCCGTGCTATAAGAAACATTCTCTCTTGTGGTTAAGTACATTTATGGCTTATTTGCCCCTGTTCCAACTAACAGGGCAGCACATCTTTAAATATAATAATCCTCCTTTCATCCAGGAGGGGGCAGTATTAATTCACAACTCCTGCCATCCAAAAAAAAACAAAACAGAAAGCCCATTGAAACTTCCAGAGCTATAAAAGGTAAGAATGTGGAATCAAATTATGATTCTTATTGTTTCAATGAGGGAGGGGGAGGAAAAAAAACATATTAGAAATTGAGAATCATCTCCCATTTCTACCCTAAAAAGAAATCTGTAGGAAAGCAAGGTAGATTTCCCCATATCCATGTTGTGATCATCACAACCTGGAGGTCAGTAATTAAAAGTAACTTAGGTGCTTGTGATTCATTATGTTGGGACAGTGAGTAATGTAACTATAATTACAAAGCTACTTGTTGATGTAACAAACGCATGAGTTGCTTAGGTATAATGAGCAAATGTAGTTGTTTACAAAAGTTACTTTCAAAGGTATTCTTAGAGATATTGTATTGGAATTTGTTAAGACTTTAGGCCATTTTCTTGTCCGTCCAAATTGGCATTTAATGCTGGCATTTTAATAGATATTTTATAGGTGGGATATCACAAATGGCCACTAGTGGGAACCAGAAAGGATTATTCTATACTTCCTGAGAGCAATGAATTACTTGTGTGATCAGAGCAACAAAAAGAATAAAGGCAATATTGGAAATTCAGTAGAGTCCCTGTATTTGCAGGATCGGTATCAGCGGTTTCAGTTATCCGCTGCTTACTGCAGCCCTATATACAACACACAAGGGAGTGGGTCTTGTGGCCTATGTCCTGCCCCCTTGTATGTTGTAAACAAGGTTCTCTGCTCTCTCTGGTTTCAGGCATATAAAGAGGAAGATCACATCATTGAAAGGCAATACTAAAGCCAACACAACACGTGTGCCAATATTAAAAAGGAACAAATGGATACCGCTCTGAAAGATGGTACCAAAGACCCAGTCGGAGCAGTAATGCATAACACTTCATCTAAAAGTCGCTCACGTAGCCAACCATGAGGCCAGTTGCTCAGGTAGGCAGTCACTGAGAGAAAGGTTGTCTGATGAGAAATATCACAAGAGTCCATCCATGATCCTGGCTGGATTGCATACGGCTCACCAGGTGGTATACTGAGCTCTATCTTGGCTCCATCGCTCATATGAAGGGAGTGAGGACAGGCGTTTTGGGTGAGGGCTGAGGGCACACCTTCCTTACCCCCTCACACAGCAACACCCCGGAGGGTTGTCAGCCAATGCCTTAGCAACCCAAATGCCACCCTCCTGCTCCATCCGACGTAGCATTCAGGGTTGATAGCCTCTCCATGTATCAATGAATCATCTTCCTGTTGAGTGTTCCATTTGGATATGACATCATCTGTGAGGCATTCCCTGATGGTTGGTTGCAGCTAGTCTTGTGGCTGGAGATGCAATATTAAATCATTCTTCCCCCTCTGCTTCCACAGCTTGCATGCGATTACATCAGCTGTTTATAACCCGGGAACAACTCCTAGAAGGACAGACAGGAAAAGCTTTCTTTCTTCTACTTGGGAAGCTTTTCCAGTTAAGCCAAAGGGCTTTGGTGAGTTCTCACACTGGATTAGTCAGTAAAAATATCCCACTTCAGAGTATGGAATTACCTGGATATACAATACCTTTAGCACAAATAAAGTGTGTGTGTGGGGGGAGGCAGGGGAATAGAATAAAAGGATAGAAATTATACACTTTTGGTTTAGAAGGAACACTGTGGGGAGCTTCCTGGTTGCAATGTTTACTGCTGCTTCTGTTATTTAAACAACAACAACTGATAAACAGTTCTGCAAAGAGTTTGTATTGGGGCATTAAAGCCCAGCCCAATTAATGTCATTAAGTAAGAGTGACGTCCCGAGCAGTGTAGGGCTTATTTCAGGGGCAAACGGAGGCCTAGCTTCGCCTTCTGCTGACCACTTCAAAGCAGGGAGGGTCCCCGTCTGGGACTAGGATGGTCCACTCTGTCCATGGCCGCCACCTCACAACTGCGGTTCAGGATGGTGTTGCACGGCTTCAAGAGAGGTTCTGTCAGAGTTATTGGAGATCCGTCAAAGGCCGCAAGAGAGAACTCCAGCCTAAGTGATCCTATGCTTGACACACAAGGCAGGGCCCTATGTCGTTATGAATCATATGGAGGCTGCATTCTGGATGAACAGCAGCAGGAGCTGGTAGGGGCGGGGGGCGTTTGACCCCCAAATGGAATTTCCCCCTGGCCTTTTGGGAGAAAGATGATATAAAGTCCTTTCCTGGCCTAAAGATTGCCAGTGGGATTAAAATTACATTTAGAGGGCACATTGGCTTCCAAATGGAGACGTATGTGGGGCTGCTTTAGGGCATCATCTTAGACCAAAGAGGCGGATGCTAGTTACAGGGAGGCAGTCTCCTTTCTCAATGTGGAAGTTCAGGAGAGAGCAAAAACGTGGCCTGTACATCACCTGTAGCTGCTGCTCTAGGGTTCTTCCCAGCTCTGTCTGGAAAGATCAAGAAGCCAGAACCTTCTGCAAGCTGAAGATGCTTCCCATTACAGGAGTAGAGAACTTGCCCGAGGATCATACAAAGTTGCCTTCTACTGCATCGAACCACGATTCCGTCCTTTGTGTTCTCACTGACTACGTCTTTCCAGGACTGAAGGCACTGTACCTTCCCCACCACCACCACCTTCTGACACTGGACTTTCTGTGTATGGTAAACAGGTGCTCTGCAGTAGAGCTACGTCCCATTCCTAAAGGATTCCTGTGGTCCTCTTTCTGTTTGCTATCGAGCGGTGCGGCAGCATCGCTTTGGGAGACCCTTGTTATTCCGGATTAATTTCCTGATGGATTTGTACCTGAAGGTCACAAGAAAGTCCAGGAGAAGGGGAGAAGGATGGGAGGTCTTGCTAGGTGAAGGCCACATGCTATAAGTCACGATGTTTACTAAAGCCTTGCATGCAATCAGTCGATGGTCTTCCTACCCCAAGCCTTCTCGCGGTCAGATACTGCATTTCCTGTATCACACAACTTAAAGAAGAAGCAATTGTGCTGGATCCCTTTAGATTCTGAACTCACGGTCCTCCTTTTCGATAATTTTAGAGTGAACGTACTTCAAAATGTAGTATGAGAGCCACTGGTCGGGAACAGTGGAACTGCTCCAGGTTCTACCACAAGGAGCTCTCCGGGGTGCTGATCCTTCCCTGAAGATATGTTCGCCCTCTTAAGATAGCTTGTTAAAGTTCAGATTGAAACCTGAAGTAGATCCGCCGCCGTCCTCTACATGGGAGTCACCAGCCCCCACTGCTGTAACCGCTGCTGCATTTGGTATCTTCTTTATTCTACAAAAATGAGTTGTAGCCTTCCAACCTACACTGTTATTCTAATAGTGCTAGTAGGAACTTGTCTTAGGGAGCCACCTTGATTCATGTGATGGTCTGCTCCAACTGGCTTGTCTAGACTGGAAGCCAAAAACCACATAGTTAACTGTGACTAGTTACTTGTTGTGTAATTCAGGGGTAACTAAGTTGTATTTCAAAAGCCATAGCTTCTGTGTTATGACATAAGACAGCATGATTATATATAATAAATAAGCTATTGATAGACGTACGTAGCATCATTAATGTTGCATTTCACCAATAGGTCAGAAAAAAATAGAAGCAAATTAATGGTCATCCCACTGCCTCCAATTAAAGAATAAGGCAACTCTTTCCTTTTAAAACTAAGCTTTGCTGGTAACAGGACATTTGCAATTCTTTGTGCTTGTTGTTACTGTGTGTGCATGGGTTGTCCAGGTCAAAAGAAGACACGCAAAGCAGTACTAATATATTATGAAACCATGAAGGAAATTGAGGTTAGACACCAGGTGGTGTCCAGGCTCCCAATTCCTTTGGACTGGCCTTCTTCCCCACCACGGAACGCTGAGTCCAAACCCTGCAGTAAACAAGCCCTGCCGGAACCTAGCCCTGCCCAATAAAGTCCTCGTGCTATAATATAAATAGCTATCACAAAGCCGTTGTGAAATCTTTGCCCTTTGCTCCAAACCTGATCATGCAGGAAGAGTATAAATATCAAGCAGCCTCACCCAGTCAAGTTCAGAGAAAGATTACCAGGAAAAAGCAAGATGGATCTCCTCCCTGGCTTTTCCATTGAGACGTGGTCCTTGCTCGTAGCTCTGCTGGGACTTCTCATGCTGTATGTATTTTCCTTCTGTTTATCTTTTATGGGTCTGTTTCCTAACTGGGGATAGCCCATCACTAATTGCTCTGAGAGCAATAAGAAAATAGTAGCGGAGGTATGTAGGGGTGGGAATCTCAAGAGCGCCCCAGATGCTGTTGAGGTGCTCATTAAATTCTCCTTTGGTGCCCGTGATAGGTGTCATAGTCTTTCACCCTCCCCTCTCTCTCTTTTTAAAACCAAAACCAGGTATGGAATCTGGCCCTATCGTGTGTTCTGGAAACTGGGGGTTCCCGGCCCGACCCCACTACCTTTCATTGGAACTTTATGGCAATTCAGTAAAGTGAGTATCTGGAAATCATCTGCTACCTTCTTGGTGGCCTTTCCTGAGGCACCCTGCCTTAATGGGATCTGGCAAGACAATCCCATGTTCTTGAATGCCTTTCTCCTCCCCTCTGCAGGGTTTTGTGAAGTTCGATACCATGTGCTATGAGAAATACGGAAAAGTCTGGGGGTGAGTGAGCTTTTCTTACCAGCTGACATTCTTTGGCGGACCCTGAGCCCATAATCACACCCTAAAGAGATGTTCACAAAAAAGAAGCAGGAAAGCAAATCAAAAGCTGTGCACACTTTTCAACCTTTCCCCCTGCAAACCAACACCACCTTAATCGGCAGTTGAATGACTCAGCCAAGGTCTCTTTGGGTCCAAATGTCCCAGTTGACCAGGAAGAATTCCTATATTTTGGACTTTTTCACTGCTACTCCCCTATCCCTTTTTGAGTCTTTGTGGCGTGCCTCCTTTCAACTTTATTAAGGGTCATAGTTTAGCCTGTTGATGGAATAGTCCTAACCAGGGTGGAGATGTCCTCTTAAGGCATGCTGAGCTGCGGGTGATGACGGTTGCAAGCCAGAATATATGGAGGCTGGTGTAGGTCTTCCACTAGCAAGCCCATCCTGTATTTGTAAAACAGGCTGAATGATGGTAGTTGTATTACCCGTTGCTAGTTACTTTTTCACACTATAGGTTTTTCCTTGTTATTTGAAGACCACTACATTATTTTTCGTAACTTTTTGAAACTTTGACCGTGTGACTTCCAAGCACTTCTTCAGCAAACCAAAGCCTATCCTTGTTAGGGTGTTCAGAATCATCATTGTTGAAAACCCTGGAAAATATGCCTTTTGTTCTTAAAACGAGTGCCCTTGTTTCTTTCTTCCATCTGAATGTAGGATCTATGATGGCCGACAGCCTGTGCTCGCCGTGATGGATCCCCAGATTATTAAAACGGTTCTAGTGAAAGAATGCTACACCAACTTTACCAACCGCCGGGTGAGAACTTGCCTTACCTCTCTCTCTCTAAACTTTCCCGAAGGATCTCTCAAGCCCCTTGTAGGGTAGCTTTGCCTGAAATGGGTCACCCAGAGATTCATGGCTCAGGGAGAACTGAACCTGGATCTTGCAAAATAAGGGAAGCTTTAGCATCTTGAGGCTAAGTTGGGGTGTAAGTGGGAGGCAGGCAGATGGATGATGCTGTCTGCAAAAGTCATTTATTCAGTCCATCATTTTGCTCTGAACAGTGACTCATTTTAATAAATAAGCCTCTGTTAAAGGTGCTGGCAGTGCTTGCATGGATGGGAAAAATATTTTGCAGAAAAATATCACATGTTTTGCAAGAGGATTTGGTTTTGTGTGAAGTTGGCACAATTCTCTAAGTGCCTCCAGTGCCCAAAATTAGGACTCCTCTCCCTTCATTTAAGAATTGGAAGCAATAGATGGGTTGCTGGCATCTTTCTGAGCAATCAGCCAATCCTTGTGCATTTGCACATGCTATCCTTCTCAAGAGAAAGATCATCAGTGGTAATTGTGCAAATTAGAGCAAGCTGGAAGGGAAGGGGAGAAATATGTCCTCGTCTTCTTCTCATGTGGACATGAGGGACCCGGCTTATCTGGTTATCTGATTCCACCAAGACATCTTCTGATCCCTGACGGTTCATGATATTTCCGGTGTTCTCTCTAGGTGTTTGGTGCAGCTGGAATATTGAGGTCAGCAGTCTCTGTAGTCCAGGACGAACATTGGAAGAATCTACGGACTTTGCTCTCTCCAACATTCACCAGTGGGAAGCTGAAGGAGGTAAGAAAAGATCCTAAAGTTGAACAACTAGGAAGATAGTGTGCAGGCTGTGCATTTTGATTTGGAATTCTCTCCCTTCTTGGTGAGGGTGGCTGGAACCATGATGGACCTGGGCAAGAAGGTTCAAATTTCATCCCTGCCATCAGGGATTTTAACTAATGTACTCCTTCTCCATTTCTATTGCACCTTTTAAATATGCTTTTACTGGGCTTTATCCTGGCTAACAAAGTTCCCATTGATTTCAGTGGACGTTCTCAGGATCTAATTTCATCTCAGTCCAACCCCATGTCATAGCTTTATCTCTGTGACGATATCAAAAACTGGAGCTTCAGTTCTTGACTGAGCAGCAAAATTTAAGGAGCCAAATCCCAATTTTTAGTGAAAGAGTTTGCATTCATAGAAAATTATGCCTTCCTGGAAGCGGAATCTGTTCCTATGATCTGTGTATAATCCTTCAGGAGATAGTTTTCATCTGCAATGTTTTTCTTGTTGTACTTCTCTGTCATCTAGTCGCCTCCGACTTACGGTGACTCAGTGGATGAGTTGACTTGATTGCTCATTGGTTAGATATCTGGCTGCAGAGCCAGAAGTTGGGGGTTCGATTCCGCACTGTGTTGGGAATAGAGCCAACCTGCGTGACCTTGGGCAAGCTGCACAGTCCCAGGACATTTACAGAAGAAGGAAATTTAGACCACTCTTGAGTATTCTCTACCTTGGAAACTTTGAAAAGGGCCATTATAAGTCAGAATTAATTTGATGACACATTGTTTCTATTTGGTGTCTGAAGAGTTCATTGTTTTGGGTACCCGGCTGTGGAGCCAGAGGTTGGGAGTTCGATTCCCCCACTGTGCCTCCTGCGAGAAGAGCCAGCCTGGGTGGCCTTGGGCCAGCTGCACAGTCCCAAGGTTGCCCCCTAGAGGAAGGGAACGGTAAACCACTTCAGTGTATTCTCTAGCTGGAAAACCCTATAAAAAGAGTCAGGTCACCTAAGTCAACAATGGATGATGATAATATTGATGTTGATTGATGGGTGACTCCTGTACTAACACACTAAAATACACATATTTTCAGAGCAGTCCATTGCCTGCCAGGAGTCCCACGAGAGAAGAGAAAAGTGTTCTATCAAAATAAAATTAAGTGAAATAAATACTGAAATAAAATGTCCCCTCTTTGGAATTAATTGTTTGCCCTCCTTCGTGAATTACCTACTGGCTTTTTGGAATCATTTGCAGCTAAGGAGGAAAACCATCTGTAGGTGTTTCAAGGTGCTTCCTCTGATTTGTATTTCAGATGTTTCCCATCATAAAACATTACGGAGAGGTTTTTGCGCAACATGTTCAGAAGAAAGTGGAAAGGGATGAGCCCATGGTGATGAAAGAGTAAGTCCTGCAAGTCGAAGAGATATCAAATGATGATGAAAGGCCACAAGGTGTGGACTGAAACATAGGACAGTAGACGAAGAAGGAAAAATGCTCCGACTCAATATAAAACCATCTTGATATAAAGCCATCTCTGGGGTCCCTTGCATGTAAGGAGTCCCCAATCATCTCCGGATAGACACCCAAATATTGGGAAGCAGACAAGTGGGCAGGGATCCCTCTGTTGTTACCTCCAAGCACTAATTGCAGAAAACCAAGGAAATTTCTCTTCTTGCTTCATCTGTCTTACAAGGAACGGACCTAAGGGAGATGTTTTGGGTGACACACCAACACTCCTAAGGCCAGATCCAGCCTCCAGGCCTTATGTTTTCCCCCAAGAGTGCACACAATCTTAATAGCGATGTATCAAAATGTCCAGCTGTGAAAGAAGGCAGGTTTCTGCAAATGTTGACAGTTAAGTAGAGTAGAGTTTTGGCTGCAATACTGCAGTTTAACCACTGTCACGAGGCTCCTAGAAGAGGTGTGTTTCATAATCTTTTGAATTTGCCTCTACTAAAAATACTGTAGCCCTTTCTACACAACTGTGGAAGCTCTGCCGTTCCCTTTTTCACTTGGCCACAATGGATGAGCTATTTCTCTGATCTCGTAGAAGGCACCTTCCTTTAGCTTCGATGACCCTAACCCTTGTCCATCCAGACATCCTAACACACCAGCAAGCTGCACAGCATACTTGATTTAGCCCTTACCTTTTATGAATCCATCAGCTAGGATCCATTTTATTTAAAATTCTTCTTCTCGATCATATTTAAGTGCCCAAGCTGAATGTTTGATGTTTTTCCCCCACTCTTCAGCATCTTCGGACCCTACAGCATGGATGTGGTCACCAGCACTTCTTTCGGGGTGGAAGTCAACTCCATAGAAAACCCGAATGACCGTTTTGTCCACGAGATGAAGGAATTCACCAGGCCGTTTCAGTCTTTAAATCCAAAATTCGTTCTGATGTGTAAGGTTGCTTCTGGTTCTCAAGAAATCCTGGTTGTAGGCCAGTTCCTATGGGGAGGACTCTTATGTGGGTGGAGTGAAATGGTAGCTTTCACACACACACACACCCCAGTTTGGGATGAGAGGATCCGCCTTCTCTTTCCACAAATCTCTCATGCCTTTTCATACATGAAGACTGCATGGGAGCCCACGATGATTAATAGCCTGGAGAAGCCCAATAGATGGACACACTGAGTCAGACAAAATGACTGTTAATGATCGTAAACCTGGTTAAATTTAATTCATGGGTCCCTACAAATACAGGGCACAAGGAAGAAGCAAAGGTTTGTTCCAGGAATATTCCTTTGTCTTCAACAATTTTTTTTCTCTCCTTTACAGTTACTTTCCCATTCCTCCAGCCCGTCTTTAGTGCCTTGAATATACAACTGTTTCCCAGAGAATCAGTGGAGTTCTTTGTAAGATCCTTTGAGAAAATCAAGGCAGCTCGCTTGAAAGAAGGCCAAGCGGTAAGCGGTAGGGGTGAGGGTTGGAGATTTGGGGTGAGGGTCTTTGGATTGAAGGAGGCCCACATTCTTCATTTCCTCAGGATTTCAGCCTTTCCAGCTTTTCCGGCTTGTTGGGTCCAGAGCGTGGGAACCACAGCTCTCAGAATGAAGCAGCAGGTGGGGCCGTTGGCGATGCTGCAGTGGGATTCAGGAACCGTCATTCAAAGCATGATTTCTTTCCTTGCTTTATTCGGAATGAGAGCCATATTCTTTTCTGCTTCACTGCAGAATTAACTCTTCCCCTAGTGTTATTTTCCTGAGCTGAAGTACCACATTACAACTCATACAATGGTGCCTCGCTTAACGATGATAATCCTTTCCAGGAAAATTCAATGGGTTTTTTTATTTCGCTTTACGAAATAAATATTGTAAAGCGAAATTAAAAAAACACATTGAAACGCATTGAAACCCATTCAGTGCGTTCCAGTGGGGTAATAACTCACAGTCCAGTGAAGATCCTCCATACAGTGGCCATTTTTGCTGCCTGTATAGTGAGGAATCCATCCCTAAACACAGCGGGGAGCCATTTTAATTACCCAGCGGCTATTTGAAACCGCCGATCAGCTGTTAGGAAAACATCGTTTTGCGAAGAATCGGTTCCCGAACCAGGGAACTGATCATCGCAAACTGAAATTCCCCCATTTAGACCATCATTTTGCTATCACAACTGCGATCGCAAAAGGATCATCATAAAGTGGATTTGTCGTAATTCGGGGCAATCGTAAAGCGAGGCACCACTGTATTTGCTTCTGATCATCTGGATTGGGGGGGAGAAAAGTGGGTAATTGCTAAGTACCCACATATGGCATGCTCTGAATTGAGCATGTTGTAGCTGCATGACTTCATTTAAAAAGCAACAAAAACAAAAGTTATTTTTCATAGCTCTCATTGTGTGTCTAATTGTGACCCACTAGTTTCTCTCTCCTCCTGCTGATCCATCATTTCATTTCCAGAGCCGAGTTGACTTCCTGCAGCTGATGATCGACTCCCAAGTTTCCAATGGCAGCCCCCAGAGCAATGGGGCCAAAAACAAGTACAAAGGTAAAATAATGTCATTTTGACTTTGCCCCTGGATGCAAAACCGGCGAGTCCCGTTATGTCTCCTGGCATATTTAGGAGAGGTGGATGTTCGTTTTCTGGGTGGACAACATGGCAGCCCTCAATCCCATATGGTGTGCCAAAGGAATGAAAAGGAGGAGGATGGAGATAATGGAGGGGGAGGTAAATTGGTATATGTCATGAGACCAAGAACATTTAAAGGATTAACAGCCACCACTTTGACCAAACTGCCAAGAAAGGGAAGGGGGAGCAATTGGAAAGGTTTCTCCCTTTGCTCATTTTGGAAGAGTGTTGAACCTTAGACCTGGAGAGAGAGAACAGGGCTGGGCTTACATATGGTTTTCTTGACTTTCCCGGCTATAGCACGGTGGTTCCCATCCTTGGGTCCCGAGATGTTCTTATACTACAACTCCCAGAAATCCTGGCCAGCACAGCGAGTGGTGAAGGCTTCTGAGAGTTTTAGTTGAAGAACATCTGAAGATTCATGTTTGGGAAGCACTGCTGTAATGCATCATAACCCCTCAACTTCATGTGGAGTTTTTCACTTTCTGAGTTCACTGCGTCTCTTTGAAGACTTAGTTTTTGGCAAGAAGAATTTCCAACTAAAATATGCTAGTACTTTTTTTTTACCCAGAATTTGGCACTCATCCCCACCCACCACGGCCAAACGGTCCATGAAAAACTTTTCGAAAACTTTATGCCTCCATCAGGCTGAAAGTGACCCTTTCTTATCCTTGCCATGGATAATTGCCAAAATTCCTAGGGTCATGCTACAGCCCTTGAATTGGATGAGATATCCTGCCAAATTCCGATGACAGCCTCCGCCGCCCTTTCTATGGGAAGAAACTATAGAAAGAAAGGTGGGTGTTTACTATTTTCTGAACTCTTGAACACGGTGGACAGAACGACACATACGTACTGCCAAAGGCAACATTGCACAAGACGTGGTTTTCTTTGCTGTACGTCTTCCAAACTCCAGCTGAAAATATCACATACAAACTCAATTGGAGAAGCTCTTTTTTTCTGCACAAACTCTTAGAAGGAAAACAAGAACCATATTGGTATTGGTGAAAAATGTTTTCTGTTATATTGTTGTTCTTGCAAAGGTTGCATCAGCCATAGTTGTGGCTCTGCTGGAACGAAAAATCTAGGGAGTCTGGAATATTTCTCAACAGTCAAACAAGTAGGGAGGGATGTCCTGATGGAGTGGAATCCAGAACTGAGGTCAATGCAGAAAATATTCTTGCATTCTATATACAGGACAAAGTTATATGATGTTTCTGCCATACACATTGTACAGCACAAGTCTTTACCCTTCTCCCCTTTGTTTGTTTGTAGGCTTGACCGATGAGGAAATCCTTGCACAAGCCACCATTTTTGTCTTTGCTGGCTA